TTAAACATTAATATATATATATATATATATATATATATATATATATATATATATATATATATATATATATATCAACTTTTGTGTTGAATTGATAAGCTTTTCAATATACAAAACTAAACGCATTTCCAAGAGTCTCTCTCACTCAGTGTGTGTCTATATATCTTTATCTGCAACATTCTGATACAACTCCCAGTCTATCTATCCCTTCTCTTTACTTTACCCATCCCTCTGTCCCCTGCCCATTAGCTTTTCAAGAGCACGACACCCCCATAACTTTCCACTTTGTACATTAGGGTTACTATAAAAGGAAAGGTTACGCTGCAATGGACATTGAGTTTCTCAAATCCATTTCCGAGGATCAAACGGACATGATGATGATGTTGCAGCTTGATAAGCTCCCGGATTTCGGTGGTATCTATGGAGATGATCAAGAGCCATCAACTGAGTTCACAGATCACGGAAGTAGCAGCTCCACCAACGTGAATGCTAACATGTCGCAGTTTATGGAAGATTCACATTTCGGATCACCTGCACTCATGAACCCGTCTAGCACCATCTCTTTCACCTCTCCAGCACAAACTACAGGTGGTGAGGTGCAGTTTTTATCAACTGCGCGGTGGAGGAACAGTGGTAATGTAGAAGGTCAGTCCACGGTTGAACAGAAACGTAATTCTATGGCAGCAATGAGGGAGATGATATTTCGTATTGCAGCGATGCAACCAATTCACATTGACCCTGAGTCGGTGAAACCACCTAAACGGCGGAATGTGAAGATATCAAAGGATCCGCAGAGTGTGGCTGCAAGGCATCGGAGAGAGAGGATTAGTGAGAGGATTAGGATACTTCAAAGACTTGTTCCTGGTGGCACAAAGATGGATACCGCCTCAATGCTTGATGAAGCGATTCATTATGTGAAGTTCTTAAAGAACCAGGTACAATCACTTGAGAAAGCTGGCGAGAACCGACCTCTAACAGCAGCTGGGATTGGTTTTCCGGTGCCGATGACAAGTGGAACTTACATTCGCATGGGAACATCAGCCAAAGTTTATCAGCAGTCAGCCCAAAACGTTCAGAACTATTTAGGTGCGTAATTAGTTGAGAAGAGAGATATATTTCTGGGTATAAAATGCATAACATGGTTATATGAGCGGCTTTAATTGTTGTCATAGCGATATCTAATCTTGGGATTTTGAATCCATGCAAGTTGTACTATTTTAATCACCAACTTCTCTCAAAAAATAACATTTGAAATATATAGATGTTATTTTATGAGAAATTAGATAGTCCAATTGTATAACATTATCAAAATAAAGTTTAGATGTTACAAGTTTATTCTCTTGTTATGTATTAACAATCACCTGGATTAACATATATGCATTGGCAAAGGGGTGACAAATGATTACATGTTTCAGAATTTCGGATCTATCGAAAGAATATCATTAACTTTGTGTCTCGAGACATCTCTCATGAAAATTTTGCAACAATTTTTTTATGTTTCATGTTAATTTATGTATATTATCAGTGACATACGTAGAATGACTGTATCTTTGTGATAAAAAGAAATCATTAACTTTTATGCAAGATAAGTTATTATAATTTTTTTGAACAACAGCAACATAATATAATTATTATATATATATATATATATATATATATATATATATATATATATATATATATATATATATAAATTAATAACAATCAATAAGATTATGACACCATATATACGATTATAAATTTATAATATATTATTTTAAGTCGAATATTCACGTGACGTAGAATTAATTTTTGAACAATAACTTTTAGTAATTTATAATTTCAAATTATAGTTCTTGTAATGATATACTATAAATTTACAGATAACAGCGGCATTCATGTATTATTAACTCTGGAATTGTCACTATTTAATGATGGGAATGGTTGGAACTCTATTATTCCAACTAGAAAAAAATGAAGAACTCAAATAATGGCAGGATGTTAATTGTTTGTATTGTAATTCATATAATCAAATGTTTGTTTCTTATTTATTGTGCAACCATCTTGTCTTCCTCACTCCCCACCAAGCCTCTCTTTTTTAAAGAAAGATCTACTATGTGTTTGTGTGTGATAGAGAAACACACCAATAGTGTCAAGAAATTAATAAGTTTGTCTTTTAGCGATGTATATAAGTTAAGAAAAAAAAACATATTAGTTTTTTTATTAATCTATTGGTATCGTGACACAATACTACTAACAACAAACATGTGTATTTTTATCCTGATGTGTGAGTACCAAAACAACGAAGATATGACATGTTAAAAACTGGGACCATTTGAAGAGGGGTATGGGTTATCATATCCATGATTTTCAAGGCCGAATGTTGAAAAAGATGCAACCATTTGGTACAAGATTGAAACTTGGCACATGAGTGGCTATTTTATTCTTGTAATATAAATCATTGAGACAACAATATTTATATTTATGGAAGTGAAGCAAAAACAAAGAAGATGAGTGCATATATCATTATTATTTAACTGTAGATAAAGTAAAAAAATTCAATCAAATAACAGCTATACCAAGGTGATTTGGTAAAACAATAATGCTGTATCCATTTTTGGGTATTGAGTGACACATGCATTTGGAAGCAGTTTCAAGGTATTCAAGTATTTGTGACGCATCGAGTAACTATGTGATTATGGTAAGTGTCAGTCGTGAGGCAGGGATGCACAGGAATTCTGGTGCACCAAAGGAGAGTTGTAATTTCCAAGTCTCCTCACCACCCCAATCGCAACAGTGCAAGCAAAGCAATTTGGTCGTTGCACGAGGAAATCACGTGAATTACTGACATGTTTTTATAAAAAATAGGCATTGTAATTTTGCTTTATATAAAAAATGTGCACTACAACTTTCTATCTCTTAATTATTCTATTCTAATGATGAGGTGTCCCTACGTCATTGGGCTGACACGTGAACGTAATGTGCCTATGCATTTATCCTTACCTACGTGGCTGTCCACCTCGGCTTCATTAACTATTTGTCTTATCTTAATTGCATGGAGCCGTAAGTTTTATACGAACTAAGGGCGTGTGGTAACCACCAAGCTCGTGGTTGACCTGGCCACGAACAACGGCCGTGCACACCACCCCGTTGTTTCGTGATCGGCGGTTCTCGTGGTCTTTCGTGTTGGCTATAACGGATTCAAATGGCCAATGAAATCGAAGCAACATTTTGAACAATTTTTATAGCCGTTCAACGGCTATTATGTTTAAAACAAAAAAAAATTAACCAATTTATTTACCTATAAATACAACACTTTTACTCCTTATTTTTTACATCATTCTTTTTCTCTATACAAAACTACACACTACATCTTCACAACCAAAAACTATGGATCCCAACCAAAATACCCCTCCAAACTACAGAAATCGCAAACCCGATATTGCTTTTACGTTAGATACAACCCCTCGCCAATTCCCGACTATGGAGTCACCTCAAGGCGGTTTTGTCAATTTGCTTCAAACCGGTTCCACTATCCAACAAACACCACTTTCCAACAACAATATCAACCTTTTCCGTCTTGCCAACAACAACAAATGCAACAACAATTTCAACAATTCCAACAACTCCAACAACAAGCATCACAACAACAACAACCACCAATTTCACAACCACCACTTTCGGCGGATTTTGTTGTGGAAACGCAACCTTCACCACTACCTCAACCAAAAAATAAAAAAGGAAAAAAAAACGGCCCGTCTCACTACCACCCAAGAAAGGGTCTCATGGACAAAAGACGAAGAAGAAAAGTTAGCGAAGACATGAGTGTCGGCTTCCCAAGATCCAATTGTAGGAGATAGTCAACCTTACCAAAGTTTTTGGGAGAAAGTCCGAGCCATTTTCTACGAGTTAATGGAAAGTGAAACTCGAAATGCCGATCACATTACGTCGAAATGACGAGATATTCAATTAAAATGCACCGAGTTTGGAGGAATCTACAACAACCTCCTAAACATACGCAAAAGTGGCTCGAATGATTTTCATGTTTTCAAGGCGGCCATGGAGCAATTTGAAAAAACAACTCCAACACGCAAAACTTTTCCGTATATGAAACCGTGGCTAAAATTAAAAGACGCTCCAAAATGGAAAGAGCAAATGAAAGGAACTTCACAATCTTCCAGTTCAAAGCGTTCGAGAAACCCCGATGGAACTTCCCAACAATCGGACGGCCGAACACACATCGACATCAACGACGATCCGCTAGATCTTGAAAACGAGCAACCTCTTCGTCGGCCCGTTGGAAGAAATAAAGCAAAAAAAGCGGCTTCAACATCTTCGAGCTCTAGTGTTATGGATATGTTTGGCGATAAATTTGATCGATATATGCAACTTCAAGAAACGAAGGCCGAGTTGATGATTCGGATGAAGCAAAAAATGATTGAAGCACAAACATCATTTCAAGAGGCACAAGCGACGATCCAAACAAAAACCGATATGGAAATCTTGAAAATGAAAGTGGACGACCTCAGGGCGAAGACTCGGAACTTTTGCTCGCGATGAATGAGTCGGTTCGAGCCCGACGTAGGCGTATGGGGTAGTTTATTTTATTTATGGTTGGAATTTTTAGTTTTTTTTTAATTTTTTTTTATTTTAAGTAATGTAATTTTTATTTTTGTTGTTATTTTTACTTTTTATATTTCAATTAATGTAGTTTTTATTTAATGTAATTTGGTCTTTTAATTTAATGGAAAACTAGTATTAAAAAAATGATTTTATTATATTTTTGAATTAAATTTAAATAAAAAAAATGAGGTGGGTGGTGTGTCAGTGGTAGGTAACTAATGTTAGTGGTAATGGAATGTGGTGCTGATGTGACACCCACCTCATATGTGGTATGTGGTGGGTATAACGAATGGTCTAATAGAATTTTTTCAGAAACGGCACATATATATTCATAGAGTAAAAAATAGAAAAATATTTTTTTTGCCGGATATATATATATATATATATA